CATAACCAGCAACTTGCTCTGCTGGAGTGGAGCTCTTCTTGCCACCTCAGCAAGTGTGTCCCCATTGCTCTTTTGCTCTCTTCATATTCCTCTCTTGGCCTCCTGCATTCTGTGGTGGATTATACATCACTGCAATGACCACTTTGTGTTCCCCAGACTGAAGTGTACCTGCTATGTAGTCTCTTTCTCCCGTCTCATCTATGCCTTCCCCTTTTTTCCCTCGAATTTCCATCTGTTTTTTACGAGCAGAGCAACCCCACCTCCCCCCCTGCCCCTTCTATCTTTCCTCATGATCTGGTATCCTGGTGGGAAGATTGCATCTGTTATTGGCTCCGTGAGTTTTGTTTCTGTAACTGCTATGATGTCTGGGGACTTCTCATTGATTCTTTCTTGCCATGGTGTATAGTAACAGGTGCACAGAGCATTGTGGTGTATAGTGACTTGTCCTGGGAGGGAGTGAGTGCCCTACTCCGCCTCATCACACATCTTCCACTCCTCCCTTTCCTCCACCGCCCACCACAAGGACGGGAGACCCCTCTCCTCCCCCTACCACCACCATGAACTACATGCGGTATGTGCCATGCGCCATTTTCCCTTCAGCCTGGGCTTACCACACAGTTTGAGGTATGGCAGATGATGAAGCCAGCCAGCCGCAAAGCCAGGGAAACAGTGCACCCAACAATGAAAGAAGAGGCACATGTCGGTGTGTGGAGAGTTTCGAGCACGGGAACAGGGATGGCCGCATTCGTGCACACAAAGGGTGTGCAGGATCACATATGCCCCCAACAGAGATTTGCCCACAGCCTCCCCAGGCAGATGGGCAATTCCAATGGCAACCTCCTCACTTGTGATAACCTTCTGTTGGCATTCAAATCCACTGCTAGCAGTACCCTATCCCACATCCCTAAAGCGGCTAGCCCATATGCAGCAGGGAAATTCACAGACCTTCTTAAGCAGGTGAATGGAGGTTCCACCAACTTAGAAGCCTGAGGCACCATCCAAGCATGGCGCAACCTACTCCTGTTCGGCAATGTCTGTATTGCAGTTCCTGAGAGATGAGGCAAACTGCTAACCATGTCAGTTATCAAGGCAGTGCAACTACCCAAGAATGGATAATTGTGTCCCTCTGGGCCCCCTCATCGCAGGAATCACAAAGGTAGACCGAAGAAAAGTCCCACTGAAAACGAGAAAATTTGCACACAGGTTAGCAAAAAAATCGAAGAAGGTAACACAGTGGAAGCAATCCGAATAATTACAAGTGACGACACGTAGCCCCCCAAAAATGAAGACCACGGCCCCAAACACTAAGAGACAAGCATCCAACCAGGGACACCATAGCCATCAACAGCAACCCTGAGGAAGACCCCATCACTGAACAATTAATTTTGCCAGAATCGGAAGTCTATAAGGCGAATGTGTCATTCCTACAGGATCTGCAATTCGACCTCAGCACCTCAAAGAGATGGTAAATCCAGTACTAGGTGCATCTGCACAAAATTCTTCTCACCGAGTTAACAACTTTCATCAACAAATCCCAGAAGAAATTAAACCTTTCTTTTTCGGAGCCTCACTGTGTGCGTTGAAGAAGAAAGATGGGGGAATCAGACCCATTGCGGTTTTGAAAAAAACTTCGCCATCTCGTTGCCAAAGCAGCAGTAAGAAACATTCGCCTAGAAGCTGCCAGTTTACTCCAGCCACACCAACTGGGCTTTGGGGTCTCTCAAGGCAGTGAAGCTGCAGCTCATGTGGCAAGGGCCTACATCAGGGACCTACCAGAAGACAAGGCCATAGTCAAACTTGATTTTAGAAATGCCTTTAATATGGTGAAGAGAGATACTGTCTTGCCAGCTGTCGGATCGGTTCCCCAGTCTTTTTCCCTTCATTTCAGCCTGCTACAGCAAACCCTCAAATTTGGGTTTTTTTGGAGAACATGAAATTCTCTCATCAGAAGGTGTTCAGCAGGGTGACCCACTAGCTCCACTTCTCTTCTGCTTGGCATAAGAGAACTAACTTCCAGCCTATGTACAAGCTAACATCTGGTAAACCCCGGGGATGGGACTCTGGCAGGTACTGAAGAGTCCTTGGTAGGGACCTACAACTGGTGAAAAAAAACAGGGAGAAAACTTGGGACTCATCCTCAATCCCTCCAAGTGTGGAAATCATCATGGCAAACCACGAAATAATCAATGCTGTGTGAAGAATCTCCCAGAAGTCTCTATTACCACTCCATCCAACAGTATCCTCTTGGGAGCACCGCTGGGTCACCAGGCCATCGACACAGTCCTCAAGGACAAATTGAATGACCTGATGAGAATGGAGGAGAGAATAAGCAATCTTGATGCCCATGATGCCTGTATCTCCTCACAAGGGGCCTTACTATTCCAAGACTCACTTACTTCTGAGGTGTGCACCCTCTTTTGACAACCCAACACTCGACGAATATGATGCCACCTGAGGTCAACCCTTAAGAAGGCACTGAACCTGTCACTAGAGGAACAGCAATGGGATCAGGCAACCCTTCCCAATGTGACTGGGAGGTATAGGGGTGCGCAAAGCAATGCATGTTGCTTTACCTGCTTTTCTGTCTTCGTGTTTGGCTTCCAGTGCATTAGTCAAGAAGATTGTTCCCGAACGCTTGAGAGACGTGGTAGGAGCTCAAGACCCCAGGTTTACTGAAGCAGCGATTCGGTGGGACACCCTTACAGATTCCTCCAGTAGACCAGCTCCTCCCAAAGAACACAAACAGTTCCACTAGGACAAACCAATCATGGAAAAAATCGCCAACACAATGCTCTCCAATGCCTCAGGAAATGACAAAGCTCGTCTCCTGGCAGTGAAGGCACCACACTCAGGAGATTTCCTGTTAGCTGTTCCTAATTCCTCCCTTTGGGCACTCGACTAGACCCACAGGCCATTCGGATTGGTGTTGCTCTTCGCCTAGCCGCCCCCATCCTCACCAAACATAGGTGTATTTGCAGCAGGGCGACAGCTGATCAATTCAGACTTCATGGTCTCGTGTGTCACACAGCAGAAGGAAAGTATGCCCGGCATGAGGAGGTCAATGACATCATAAAGAGAAGCCTCGCCACAGCCCGTTGCCCAGCTCAATGGGAACCCCAAGTGCAGAGGTCTGACAGAAGTCAAAAGAGTCCTGATGGAGCCACTATGCTACCTTTGAAGGATGGAAAGCAGATTGCCTGGGACTACACCTGTGCCGCCACATTGGCAGACACCTACTTGCCATACTCCATAGTGGAAGGAGGTGGAGCTGCCAGCCACAGGGAGACCCAGAAGATCCGCAAATATGAAGACCTTTCCCCTTGCTATAACTTCATCCCAATAGGGTTGGAGACCCTTGGAGCATGGGGCAAGTGTGCTCTAAAGTTCCTCAAAGAGATGGGTGACAAGCTCATCATAGAAACCAAGGACCACAGGGCGACCAGCTTCCTCTTTCAGAGGAAATGCCTGCAGCATTCTGGGCACATGGCCCACCGCCGGGGAGCTGGATGAAGTATTCGAGATGTAGCTCTGAGTTACCTATGTTATTTTCAAATTCAAACTTTATTCATACTTTATTCTCTATAAGTATTACAATGCTGAGTTTACAGAATTTGGTTATTGTGTGGTTTACATGTAGTAAAATAATAATTACAGAGTGTACCACTAGAACGCCTAGCATGGCTAGGCATTTCGGGCAGACTTATATTAAATCTTAGGTTTAAAATGTTACAAAATTATGAGATAAGTTGGTATTATGGCTAAGTGACTAAATACTAGTTGTGAGTTTAGCAATGTGAATGCTTTTGTTTTGGTACTATACATAGTTTCAGTATTGGAGTATCACAGGCCAACTTTTGACTAGTTAAGATTCATTATTTTGAGATTGAGATTGATATTTCTGTTTATTGTCAAATGGGTGAGTGAGTGTAAGTGTGAACCACCAGGTGGTATTCGTATTATTATTTGACAGGGTGTATCAGGGAGATAAAATGTTTTCTGATGGTAGTTTTGAAGGTGATGAATGTGTCTGCAGTTTCGGAATTTTCAGGTAGGGTGTTCCAGATTTTAGGGCCTTTGGCATACATTGAATTTTTGTAAAGGTGTAGTCGGACACAGGGAATGTTGTAGAGATGTTTGTGTCTGGTGTTATGCCTGTGGGTTCTGTCACAACTATCAAGAAAGTGTTTTAGGTCAAGGTTAATATTGGAATTTAAGGTCCTGTAGATGTAGATTGCACAGTAGTAAGTGTGGATGTACTGAACAGGGAGTAAGTTTATATCTATGAAGAGTGGGGGGAGGGGTGTTGCCAGGGATGGGATTTAGTGATTATTCTTACTGCGGCTTTTTGTTGGGTTATTATTGGCTTTAGGTGTGTTGCTGCAGTTGAACCCCAAGCACAGATAGCATAGGTGAGGTATGGATATATAAGTGAATGGTATAGTGTGAGAAGGGCAGTTTGCGGCACGTAGTATCGTATCTTGGAGAGGATCCCAACCGTTTTGGATACTTATTTGGTTATGTGTTGGATATGGGTGCTGAAGTTCAGGTTGTTGTCGAGGTTGTTGTACTTTCTATTGTATTTTTCTGAATGTTTTGTCAATGTATTTTGTCTTTAAATAAAATATATATTAAATATAGGAGGTGGTAGGAGAAAATTCTCAAACAGCTTCAGGGAGAACCTTGAGTTTTCCCTGAAGCAAGTTTATTCTTTTCTCTGAGGATGAGGGTCCCTAGGACAGTTGTAGAGGTGGTACCTCCCTATATATATATATATATATATATATATATATATATATATATATATATATATATATATATATATATATATATATATATATATATATATATATATATATATATATATATATATATATATATATATATATATATATATTATATAATGTAAGCGAGGCCTCACTAACATTGTCTGTAGTTATGTATGAATATTGATTCCGGAGGAAATTTCATTATCGAAGAACATGTTATTGAATATTGATAAACTAATAGTACTTACAGAGGAGCTTAACAACATTAGTGGCTTTGGCATCACTGAGGCCACTGAAGTATTTATGATGTTTGATGAAGTCTTCCCACACCAGGCAGGCCATGGAGTTCCCACAGGATGAGTGTGTGCTGCTTGCCAAAGGACAGGAATGTTACGTATTTCATAACATCGGGTATTTTAAACTGTTTTAGTCTTGCTGGTATGAAGTTTGTTCCTCTAGCTGAAACTTCTAGCAAGTCGAGATGTTTGGTGCGCTCTTGTTTATTATAAATTAGGCTTCCCAAACACTAACTTAATGACTTCAGTTAATTATATTCAGGGTAAATATTAATTAGTTAAATACAGGTACAGACACTTATATTTAATATCAATAATGATTTACTTGATACTAAATATTAAGTAGTCACAGAAATATTAAATATGACATAGAATAATTACTGAATAAATGGTTGATATATGAGACGCTTTTGAAACATTTCGAGATCATTATTCTTGAAATGTTTCGCCAACCAGTGACTTCTTCAGTCCAAAGCAAAGATCTGTGGAAAATAAGGAGGAGTTTGAGGTAATTAGTCCCTCAGCCTGGAGTCAATGTGCTCATAACTGACTAGCAAATCGTTTCCGGAATAAAGATACACAGATGTTACAAAAGAAGAATAGTCATGACCTACCTGAGGACGCAGCCATAAACTGCAGCTACGAAGAGACCAGCCATTCCTGTCATGTAGCGCAACTTGTCTGTCACCAAGAAGGTGAGAATCTGGTCAGGTTTCTGTATCCTGCCGGAGGTGAGTGGGTCACAGTCTCTGTAGGTAGCGTAGGCGACGAGGCCGGAAAGGTAGAGGACGATCCACAACGTAAACAACCCCACCACGAAGCCAATAATCAACCTACGAGAAAATATTTCATGAGGGACAGACTTATGAACAATCAGTGATGTATAAAATGTCAATAAGTCAATATACTCATTCGCTTTTAAGGTGATGAATTAGACACATCTGCAATATCTGCGTATCTTTATTCTGTAGACGTTTCGTCAACCAGTGGCGAGATGTCTACAGAATAAAGATATCTAGATACCTTCATTGTTGATGTGCTATAGCTAAGAAGATTTAGAGAGAGAGAGAGAGAGAGAGTGTGTTGTGTGGGTGTGTGTGTGTGTGTGTGGTGTGTGTACTCACCTATTTGTGGTTGCAGGGGTCGAGTCTTAGCTCCTGGCCCGCCTCTTCACCGGTTGCTACTGGTGTGTGTGTGTGTGTGTGCGTGTGTGTGTGTGTGTGTGTGTGTGTGTGTGTGTGTGTGTGTGTGTGTGTGTGTGTGTGTGTGTGTGTGTGTGTGTGCGTGTGCTCACCTAGTTGTGGTTGCAGGGGTCGAGTCACAGCTCCTGGCCCCGCCTCTTCACTAGCCGCTACTAGGTCACTCTTCCTGTTCCATGAGCTTTATCATACCTCTTCTTAAAGCTATGTATGAATCCTCCCTCCACTACATCGCTTCCCAAACTATTCCACTTCCTGACCACTCTGTGACTGAAGAAATACTTCCTAAAATCCCTGTGGTTCATCTGGGTCTTCAACTTCTAATTGTGACCCCTTGTTACTGTGCCCCATCTCTGGAACACCTTGTCTCTGTCCACCATGTCAATTCCTCTCAGTATTTTATATGTCGTTATCATATCCCCCCTATCTCTCCTGTCCTCCAGTGTCGTCAGGTCGATTTCCCTTAACCTATCCTCTTAGGACATGCCCCTTAGCTCTGGGACTAGTCTTGTTGCAAACCTTTGCACTTCCTCTCATTTCCTTACGTGCTTGTCTAGGTGAGGGTTCCAAACTGGTGCTGCATACTCCAATATGGGCCTGACACACACAGCCTTCGATAAGTGTGACCATGGCGTAATAACGCACAAAATGCGTGATAAAGGAATAACAGGAAAAGTTGGTAGATGGATCTATAATTTCCTCACAAACAGAACACAAAGAGTAGTAGTCAACAGAGTAAAGTCTGACGGGGCTACGGTGAAAAGCTCTGTTCCACAAGGCACGGTACTCGCTCCCATCTTGTTTCTCATCCTCATATCTGACATAGACAAGGATGTCAGCCACAGCACCGTGTCTTCCTTTGCAGATGACACCCGAATCTGCATGACAGTGTCTTCCATTGCAGACGCTGCACGGCTCCAGGCGGACATCAACCAAATCTTTCAGTGGGCTGCAGAAAACAATATGAAGTTCAAAGATGAGAAATTTCAATTACTCCGATATGGTAAACATGAGGAAATTAAAACTTCATCAGAGTACAAAACAAATTCCTTCCACAAAATAGAGCGAAAAACCAACGTCAAAGACCTGGGAGTGATCATGTCAGAGGATTTCACCTTCAAGGACCATAACATTGTATCAATCGCATCTGCTAGAAAAATGACAGGATGGATAATGAGAACCTTCAAAACTAGGGATGCCAAGCCCATGATGACACTCTTCAGGTCACTTGTTCTATCTAGGCTGGAATATTGCTGCACACTAACAGCACCTTTCAAGGCAGGTGAAATTGCTGACCTAGAAAATGTACAGAGAACCTTCACGGCGCGCATAACAGAGATAAAACACCTCAAGTACTGGGATCGCTTGAAGTTCCTGAACCTGTACTCCCTGGAACGCAGACGGGAGAGATACTTGATTATATACACCTGGAAAATCCTAGAGGGACTAGTACCGAACTTGCACACGAAAATCACTCACAACGAAAGCAAAAGACTCGGCAGACGATGCAACATCCCCCCAATGAAAAGCAGGGGTGTCACTAGCACGTTAAGAGACAATACAATAAGTGTCAGGGGCCCGAGACTGTTCAACTGCCTCCCAGCATACATAAGGGGGATTACCAATAGACCCCTGGCAGTCTCCAAGCTGGCACTGGACAAGCACCTTAAGTCGGTACCTGACCAGCCGGGCTGTGGCTCGTACGTTGGATTGCGTGCAGTCAGCAGTAACAGCCTGGTTGATCAGGCTCTGATCCACCATGAGGCCTGGTCACAGACCGGGCAGCGGGGGCGTTGACCCCCGGAATTCTCTCTCCAGGTAAACTCCAGGTACAGTGTACAGGATCCTGAACGATTTCTTATTGAGATTTCGGAATGTTATACTTGGGTTTACTAGGCGCCCGTATGCTGCGGCAGTTATTTGGTTGATGTGCGCCTTAGGAGATGTGTCCGGTGTTATGCTCACCCCAAGATCCTTTTCCTCGAGTAATGTTTGTAGTCTCTGGCCCCCTAGACTGTACTCTGTCTGCGGTCTTCTTTGCCCTTCCCCGATCTTCATGACTTTGAACTTGGTGGGGTTGAACTCCTGGAGCCAGTTTCTGGACCACGCCTGCAGTCTGTCCAGATCTCTTTGTAGTTCTGCCTAGTCCTCGTCCGATTGAATTCTTCTCATCAACTGCACAATATCTGCAAACAGGAAAACTTCTGAGTCTATTCCTTCTGGCATGTCGTTCACATATACCAGAAATAGCACCGTTTCCTAGGACTTACCCCTGTGGAACCCCGTTCGTCACAGTCGCCCACTCTGACACCTCGCCACGTACCATGACTCGCTGATGTCTTCCCGACAGGTATTCCCTGATCCATTGCAGTGCCTTCCCTGTTATACTTGCCTGATCCTCCAGCTTATGCACTAATCTCTTGTGTGGAACTGTGCCAAAAGCCTTCTTACAGTGTGTGTGTGTATCTGTGTGTACTCACCTAATTGTGGTTTCAGGGGTCGAGACTCAGCTCCTGGCCCCGCCTCTTCACTGACCGCTACTGGGTCCTCCCTCTCCCTGCTCCATGAGCTTTATCATATCTCGTCTTAAAACTATGTATGGGTCCTGCCTCCACTACATCACTTGCCAGACTATTCCACTTCCTAACAACTCTGTGGCTGAAGAAATACTTCCCAACATCCCTTTGGCTCATCTGAGTCTTCAACTTCCAATTGTGACCCCTTGTTTCTGTGTCCTATCTCTGGAACATCCTGTCTCTGTCTACCTTATCTATTCCACGCAGTAGTTTGTATGTCGTTATCATGTCACCCTTGACCCTCCTGTCCTCCAGTGTCGTCAGACCGATTTCTCTTAACCTTTCTTCGTAGGACATTCCCTTTAGCTCTGGAACCAGCCTTGTTGCAAACCTTTGCACTTTCTCTAATTTCTTGACATGCTTGACGTGTGCGTGTGTTTGTGTGCGTGTGTGTGCACGCGCTCGTATAAACTAACACTAGCAGCACAGCTTAAAAAAAAAAAAGACCTTTGCGATGTTTGCAGCGTTGAAACCGAGGCAAGTCTTTGATAACTCTGTTGAACGAGAGTGAGAGTGGTGGCTCCCTGGTAGAAGCCCAGCATGACAGTCGACCAGAATGTGTGTCGCTCGTAGGGACTCGTGTTGAAGCTGCCACATTAAATACGTAATTCATTAATAATAGAATTATACATAAATTTACTTATTACATTAAATATCTGCTTCCTGAGACTCTTTCCTTTATCTTCTCTCGGTGAGAGTTACAAAATCTAGTTAAATGCACAAAATATCACTTGATGGAATAAATCACAATAAAAAGCTCGGGTTATATTTCCTGTTTTCACTCTGGTATTTTAACATGTCACTTAATATTAATCAGGTAATTGTGTATATCTACAAAAATGCATTTTTTCCTAAAAATTATTAAGTTTACAAAAAATGCTTTAATTCAGTCATAAACTAACGAAGATGAATTGGACAAATTGAGCAAATAGTGATTGATGAGTGATAGAAATTTGTGTAGATAAATGCCATAACAGAGAAGGGAGAAAGCAAAGTCAGACAGAGGGACTAAGAAGTTTAAAAAATTGAAGAATTGAGACACTTATGCAACACATGGGAATCTTTATTGAAGAAACGTTTCGCCACACAGTGGCTTCATCAGTCCAATACAAAGTAGAAATGGGTAAGGAGAGTAGAAGTTTTGGAAGATCGTACTACAGACAAATTTACGAGAAACTCATGTGTTACATTTGCGAGTCACGAAGTAGTTCCTTCTCCATCTCTGAGGACCAAGACATTGATGTTTGTTAAGAGCCTGGATCACATTACCAGATACTACTTTGCAATAGCTTTCAAATATGTGGATGCAGAAATGCTAAAAATGGTTCTTTACAGAATATATTAGTTACAAATTGGAATATGTAGCTGTTGTGTGGCAGCCAATTCTGAAAAACTTGGATAAATTAGACCAGGTCCAAAGAAGAGCTACGAAGTGACTACCAGTGTTTACTAAAGATGCGCTATCTGGCTGACAGAAGGAAAAGTGGAGACAGGAAACCACATATAAGAATAAAAGATCATGAAAGAGTAGGTAAAAATTATTTCTTTGTATCTGCAACAGGGATGACAAGAGAAAAAAGTGAAGCCGAGGGGATACTAGAATTTTTTCTTCAGGAAGAGAATGGCTCACCTATGGAATAATGAAAACCAACTACGTAGTAAGTGTTACAACCGTTGGAAAAATATGATGAACCAATTATTACAGAGGACAGAGACCTCGACCATTTCTCTGCTCCTGTAACTACATATTGATTGTTTGGTGAGTACTTGTGCTACTAGGTCGGATGCTGTGCTCCTCCCTTAAGGGGCGTGTGGGAAAATTTCGCGCGTGGTTATGAGAATTATTCGAAAAATATGGAAAATGAGTTTTGTTTACAGAAAAATGACAATATCGATCGACTTATGTAATTTTTAGGAAGGCGGGTATATCGCCCTCCTCTAGCTGGATAATTATGAAGACGCTGGATTTGTACTACAAACTGGCGGGAATTATTAAACTCCTCAGAAAGATTCCACCTCGGCATATGCTTGGTACTAAGCACTCTTCAGTTATTTCCTTGCTACAATTTGACGAAGGATTAATATCAACAAGTTTATGAATAACACGTGAGCAACACCTGGGCATCTTCTGGTCCATCAGAAGTTTTGTCAGTCTAATTCAGAGACTCGACAATGGAGACGCGAGTGGTGGAGCGATGAAGCACATAAACCTGGGATGAGCTTGCTAGTGGAGATGTAATTTGCTGGCTGAGGAAGTAGTGGTCGGGTCTGACGTGCGATGATGTAGTGGTAGTAGAGGTCAGTATTTGCAGGAAGTTCTGTAGGTTACTAAGTCTATGCTATAAGGAGAAAGTTAAGATAATCTCTGAAATAAGGTTCCATAATGTTGCTGTGTCTGACAAAAGTAATTAGATCAAAGGTTTACAATACTAACAAGTTGATAAATAAGACACATTTGCAACACCTGTGTATTTTTATTTGAAAGACTCACCAGGAGCTTAATAAAGTGTTGCACGTGTCTTATCCATCACTCTCTCTCCTAGCTGTACAAGCGGTCAAGTCTGATTGCTATGGGAACATAAGAACATAAGAAAGAAGGAACACTGCAACAGGCCTACTGGCCTATGCGAGGCAGGTCCAATTCTACCAATGGCTTAAGCTCTATGACCTAGTGACTGTCTGACCTCACTGACCTAGTGAGGTCAGACACGTCACTTAACTTATCAGTGTGCCAAGTTTGGTGACGATACATTAAAAATACGCAGACATCTGACACAACTGATTAACA